TTTTGGTGTATCTTCAGGCGATATTCGTAAAACTTGTTTTGGTGGTGTGAGTCTAAGTCGTTCTTCAAAAATAAATTGTTCTTGGTTAGAAGTTGAGGTCGAAATGCGTGGAATCTTTCAGTCAGCTTCCTGCGAGGCGGGTCTTCAGAGCTCAAGCTCAACTGCAACTGCTTCTGTCTGTCTCTCAACTCAACTGAACAACTGCAAACTGCTTTTCTCTCGCTGCGACTCTGCTTATATGGACGCCGACCAAAACCGGGGTGGGCTTGTCGGGGTTTGAGGTTCCTTGATAATTCTAAATCCACAATAAGGGTTTTTTTGTTTTCGGTCAGGAAAATTTATTATTTTCCATTTTTGGAAGTCTTTACTTTCTACTTCCTCCCTCCCTTCTTCCTTTCTCATATTGGTATCTCACCCATACCCTCAGAGGGTGTCAACAGGTTTCCCCTCTCTCTCACAGTGGCATCTCACACCGATCCCTTCAGGGGGCGTCAACAGGCCTCCCCTCCTTCTTCATATGATTACCTTCGCCTACCGCTCACGCCACCATTCAGCCAATGGGCGCTCAGCAGCGTGGGTGTGGCTTAGCCTCGGTTTAAAAAATCTTGCTCAAAGAAAAAAAAAAATTATCTTCCTTTTTTTTTTTTTCTTTTCTTTTCTTTTCTTCTTCCCGACAACAAACCCCGAACCCGTAGTGGTCCTTAATCTCAATCTTAACCGAATGTCACCTGGAATTCGTCAATCGAGACCTTTTTTGCCAAACAAGTGGGTGGTCATCTGGACGATATCGCATTCTGTCGCCAATTATTCGTCCGATAAAATAATTTTCTTATCATGGCCAGCTCCTGACACAAAACAGGTGCTTTTTTCAAAATGATGATCTCCGCAGATAGTTAATGGTTTAATCTTTCCTTTGGCAACTCTGCGGGTGGTCCAGCGGACATTTTTTTTTTTTCATCAGTGCGACCCACCTAATTAATTTTTATCTCTTTAGAATTCTGTCCTGTAGGTCACTTGACCAACCTGAAATTTTCATTATTGCCATGGGCAGATTGGCTATCTTTTATTCGCCGCCCCGTAACATAAATCAAATTAAATCCGACAACATCTTCGACCTTACTTTCTTCGCTAATGAAAATAAAATCTTTACCACTTTTCTTTGTTAGAAAAATAACATCGCTTAGTGTCCTTTTCGTGATGGCTTCTTATCACCTAATTTAATTCTCGCCTTTTTTTTTTTTTTTTTCTTTCTACGCAACCTAAATAGTGTCACAATCTTTCATTTTCATAATTTGTTTTTTTTTTGGTGTTCATGTGAATTTTAGTCTTTTACACAGGATGTCTATTTGTGTGTCTGTGTACAAGGAAAAATTTGCAAAGGTTGATTATTTTCGGTTTTCTTTCATTGTTTTTTATTCCCCTTTCCATGTAATTCTATATTTATCTCTAAATAAAACGGTTATTTTTCTCTGGACTTCCCTTTATTGTTTCTAATGTTTTATTTTTTTTTTCAACATTTTTTTTGAAATATTGTGTATTTTTTTGTCGTATCTGTTAAATCTGCCCTTTAATAATTTTGCTTGTTATCTTTTTAATTTGGTTCAAAATGAATATATATATATTTATATATTTATTTCCCTTCCATAAGCGACTGTCCTGTGTAAGACGAAAAACTACATCCGCATCCTGGGTAAGACGATAAACTACATCCGCGTCCTGGGTATGACGATAAACTACATCCAAATCCTGGATATGAAATAAACTACATTCAAATTAGGTATGACGATAAACAACATGCCCGTCCTGGGTAATTTGATAAACTTCATCCGCGTCCTGGGTATGACGATAAACTACATCCGCATCTTGGATATGACGATAAACTACGTCCAACAGCAAGGCCTCTGATCAAAAAGTTTTGAGGATCGTGGAACCACGACTTAATTAAACGATTTAAGCGTTATCCTGACCCATGGTAATCATAAAAGATTTTACAATAAACTTCATCTTAACACACCCAAACTTGTGTAAAAAATATTTTTTAATACCAGAAATACTTTGTAATAAAAAATATATTACCAGCAATAATTTTTTTGGAAAAATTATTTCAACAATGTTAAAAAAAAAAAAACAGTACCAACATTACAAACAGCTATACATTCTTTGAAAAATATTACCAGCTATAGATTTCTTCAAGGAAGAAAATTTCCAGAAATAGATTTTTGAAGAAAAACGTGTTATCAACAATAAACATTTTGCCAGCATTAAATAATCCAGTGAGGTTGATATACCGTAAAACAAACTAAACCAAAACCTTCCATAAGCGACATATAAAGCCAGTTACGACCCTTGTTCAAAACACAGGCGTCAACATGTGGAGATAGTAGTCTCGATTTTGTGGTCTGTTTTCTAAGAAGTTGTAGTTTCTATCTGTTGGTCTGTTATAATATGTATTTTGAGTTTTTTTTTATTATCTGGAATGGTATTGGCTTTGTCCAGAATTGTTTAAATACATCCGAGGTTTCGCTGAATTATCTCCCTTTGTTCGTGTATATATGTGTTAAAATGATAGTGATTGTCTTGGGCGATTTCTGATTCACATTAAATGTTAAATGATTGAGCTGAATTTTGTCTGTAGCTTGATTTCCTTTGATGACTTAATTATTGGAGTAGTGTGGGTGTCGATGTGGGTTTAAATGTGATTGTTGTTTATTTTCTTTAAAAAAATGGATTACCTTCGCTGTATTCTATTTTCAATTCTTCTTCATAGATTTACATACATATGTATGTATTATTTTCTGGACCAGGCTAAATTCTTTTTGACTGATGCGATTTAAAAATTTACCAAATTGAGTTTTAGTTCTTAAACATACATTTAAATGCTGAAATTGATTCCGTTTGAGAACATCTGCTTCGTGACAGTTTTATTAAGTACATGATTAATACAGAATCATATAGAGGTTCAACAGTCTTGTTTAGCCAGCTACACTTGTCATATCTCTTATGACTGAGCGAGTTCGATCCACGCTCAGGGCATAGCTTATGATATAGATGATAACCCAGGGAAAGTGGCCACAAAAATGATTTATTATCGATTAATTTTAATACGATAAAATTTTATAACAAATAACTATATATATATATATATATATATATATATATATATATATATATATATATATTTAAACTCTCCCGCCGGATTCAACATAAATGAGGGTCAATCATTTCAGTTCCGAGGAAATTCACAGCCCGACAACATTCACATGAGATTTGATTATAGTGGTGAAGGTTTCGACGTGGACCATCCACACATTTTTGGATTGCAAAACAATTCCCTAGTTTTAAATAAACGAAAAGGTCTATCTAACAAACCCCATTATTTTGAATTCAAAGTTGTCCTTCTCCCTAAAACAGTTGCCATCCAAGGCTATAGAACCCAAAAAAATTCATTTTACCAAAACTGGAGGGAGAAAAAGAGGAAAACACCACCGATCCAAGGGTTAAAATGTGAAGGAATCCCAATGTAATAAAATCGAATGTGGAATTCGAACTCCGTTATCCATTACTTCTTCTTTGCCTCTCTGAAAATGCGTATATATATATATATATATATATATATATATATATATTATATATATATATATATATATATATATATATATATTTCAACCAAAAAAAACCTTTCTGATATTTATGTTTTATTCTAACAACTATATATATATATATTATATAGGTATATATATATATATATATATATATATATATATTTGGTTAAAATTTCATCAAGTTTGAATGTCGTTCCAGTTTAAAAGGTTTAAAACGAAGTCTTAGATTTAATATTCTGCAACGAATTATCATAAACTATTGTGAAAATTTTCAGCAACTATGGTTTTTTTTTTTATTCTTAATACATTTGGTTCCAATAAACTTGTTTTATTTTTTGCTAGTAAAATTTCTGTCAATATTACAAAATACATTTCTATAGTAAAAAATTATATACAATTTAACCTGGATATAAGAATTGTCATAACCGGAGAAGAATTTCTTATCTGGGTTTCTCTTATATCCGGGTTTTTATCTATTTTATATACATTAATATATATATCTAATTTGGGACCATATAAATCTCTCTTATATCCGGGTTTCTCTTATATCCGGATCTCTTATATCATACTTATACTATATATATATATATATATATATATATATATATATATATATATATATATATATTTTGAAAGATGTTATATAAAGCGGATTTCAAAAGAAAAACTATAAGAACAATATAAATTTTTTTTATTTTTTTATATAGTTCAAGATTCTGGATGTAAATTGGAAATTTCAATATATTTTCGATGTCTTTAATATTCGTCTATACTTTTATCTATGATCAAGGATGGTTGTATTTTTACTGTTAACTGAATGTATCGATAGTGTTATGTATGTACATTTATAGGAATGTTTTATTTCTCAAACATGGTCAATGACAAAGACATCAACATTTGTGCTTGTGTGTGAACGTAAAGAGTTTGTATTTTGTTGAATGTTCGTACGTACGTGTATGTGTGTATACTGTTCACGGCGTCTCCCACAAATGGTTGTTAATATTTTTTCGTTTTTTTATTATTATTCCATTTAGATTCCTCGACTAGTTTCGGCCAAAATGGCCATCATCAGAAGAAGAAATATTTCTGCTTGCTGATATATATATATGTGTGTGTGTGTGTGTGTTAAACAACAAATTTACAATGTCAAAGACATCAACATTTGTGCTTGTGTGTGAACGTAAAGAGTTTGTATTTTGTTGAATATTCGTACATACGTTCCTATGTGTGTATACTGTTCAACGGCATACCTCCCACAAATGTGAAGGCATATTTTTGCGACAGCTTACATTGTAGATGTGTTCGCATAAAAAGAAGTGAAAAAGAAAACGAGGCAAAAAAATTCGCCCAGTATTTATAAATTGTATTAAAGCGACACCCATATGAACAATTAGGGAATCAAGGAGGAATAACCCCGACAAGATCGTTGAAAGTGATAAATGGAAAAATTTTTAAAAAAAAAAAGAAAGTTGATGATTTTATAGAGGAAAAGAAGGAAATTTTGTTGAGATATAGGGAAGGAGAAAACAAAGAGAACATATCATGAAGAAGCTGATAAGGAAAAAGAAGTAAATAACAAAAAAAAAAAAAGAAAGAAAGAAAAGAGAAGCAAGAAAGAGATGGAGAGAAAGAGAGGTTGATTATGAGAATCTAAGAAAGAATAGAAAGAAACGTAGGCGAGTGGGGAAAATTCGATAGAAAAACGGAAAAGGGACAAATAAAATATGAGAGATGGAAGACGGAAAATCGGTAAACATGAAATTTAGAGAAAGAATGGAAATAGAAGACAAAAGAATCAAGTAGGGCAGCAAAAGAGTGAGAGAACGAAAGGGTTAAACTGAAAGAAAGAAGAGAAAAGAAAGAAATATTAATTGAGAAAAATAAAGAAGGATCATAATGTCTTGTTCTTGGACACATGATTCTTTTTTTTTTCGATAACTGAAATTTCGACGAAAGTCAAATTCTCCAATTGTTTGGGGGTATGCCATAATAGAAATATTCATTATTGCTTCACAAATTGCTGAAGCTAAAAAGAGGTCAGTTATCTCATTTTCTCAACATCTTGCCTCGTTTTCTTTCAATTTTTTAGCCCTAGCCTCGGTAGCAAAACACCATCTCTTAGTCTCGACAAATTCAGCTTCATCCAAGCGACTTAAACGTTATATCGGCGGCGCTATAAGGAGAAAACGAATAGAGTAAATAAAAAGGGGGAAAAATCGATAGATAGAAAGAGTGTGAGAGAGAGAGAGAGAGAGAGAATATGTAAAAGAAAGAGTGAAAGTAAATCTTAGATAGATAGAATGAGAGAGAGGAAAGAAAGAGAGGAAATAAATCTTAGATAGAGAGACAAATAGAGAGAAGTACCAAAAAGAAAGAGCTAAAATAAAGATATAAGATAGATAGATAGATAGATATAAACAGACTGAAATAGATAGATAGATAGAAATAGACTGAAATAGATAGATAGATAGATAGATAGATAGATAGATAGATAGATAGATATAAACAGACTGGGATAGATAGATAGATAGATAGATAGATAGATAGATAGATAGATAGATAGATAGATAGATAGATCTGGAGAGAAGTAAGGAGAGATTAAAGAGAGAGCAAAAGTAGGACTGCGAGGGATAGATAGATAGATAAAGAGAGAGAGAGAAGTATAAAAAAGAAGGAAATAAAATTTGAGATAGATATAGATAAGTGCCAAAAAGAAAGAGCGAAAGTAAATCTTTTCTACATAAATCGAGAGAGAGAGAGAGAGAGAGAGAGAAGAGATAGAAATAGAATTAATGAAAAAAGAAAAAGAGGAAGAATAAATCTAATACAGATAGATAGATAGATAGATAGATAGATATTTTCATTATTGCTTCACAACCTGCCGAAGCTAAAAAGAGGTCAATTATCACATTTTCTTCCCTGATCTCTTGCCTGATTTTCCTTCAATTTTTTAGCCCTAGCTTGGGCTGCAAAACACCGGATCCAAGTCTCGACAAATTCTGGTTCATCCAAGCGACAAGCAGTAAACGAATAGAATAAATAAAAAGGAAGAGAAATCGGGAGTAAAAGAAAAATGGGAAAGAATTCAGTGCGCAAGATGGAGGGGGAAAGAGAATAAAAAGGTGTTAGGGAGGTGAGAGAAGAAGTGAGAAGTACGGTAGAAAGAAAGAGTAGAAATTAACGAAAGAAGATAGAGAGAAAGGGGAAAGGAGAGGGAAGAGAAAAGGACGGAAGAGAAAATGACAGAGAAAGTAAGAGAGAAACAGAGCGTATAGGAGTGTAGAAATAAGAATGGGAAGGAGAGATTAGAGAGAGATAAAGGGAAGATTTAGTGAGAGTTGTAAATAGAGAGAGAGAGAGATGTAGAGAGAAAGTAATATGAAGTAAGAGAGAAGAAACAGAGGGAGAGTTCGTAAAAAGACAAAAAAAAAAGACTGCTAGAAAATAGAGAAAATTTGATATCGGGAGATGTTTTTAAATGAAAGATTAGAAAAAAGAGTGCCAGAGAGAGCGAGAGAGAGTGTGTGTGTGAGAGAGAGAGCGAGGTAGAGAGAGAGCGAGGTAGAGAGAGAGCGAGGTAGAGAGAGAGCGAGGTAGAGAGAGAATGAATGAAGGATATATAGGGAGAAGAACCAAAAAGAAAATTCGAAAGTAAACCTTAGATAGATATATAGATAGATTTCATGAGAGCGAGAGAGAAAAGTACGAAAAGAGAACGAGAGTAATTCTGAGATAGATAGAGAGATAGATAGATAGATAGATAGATAGAGAGAGAGAGAGAGAGAGAAAAGTAACAAAAAGTAAGAGCGAAAGCAAGTCTAAGAAAAATAAATATATAGAGAGTGACAAAAATAAGTACCATGACGAAAGAGTGAAAGTAAATCTGAGAAAGATAGATAGATAGATAGATTGATAGATAGATAGATAGATAGAGAGAGAATGAGTGAGAGAGAGAGAAATAGTAGTAGCAAAGCGAAAGAGCGAAAGTAAGTCTGAGATAGATAGATAGAGAGAGAGGGGGGGCGAATTACGAAAAAGAAAGTGGTAACTTAAATTTTAGATAGATAGATAGATAGATAGATAGATAGATAGATATAAAGTGTGTGTGAGAGAGATAAGCGCCAAAATGAAAGAGCGAATTAAATCTAAGATAAATAGAGAGAGAGGGAGGAGACAAAGATAAGTAGGAAAAAGAGTTTGAGTAAATCGGTTTGATAGATAGATAGATAGATAGATAGATAGATAGATAGATAGATAGATAGAGATAGAGTGAGAGAGAGAAAGTACCAAAAAGATAGTCTAAGATAGATAAATAGATAGAGAGATAGAGTGAGAGAGAGAAGTACCAAAAAGAAAGAGCGAAAGTAAATCTGAGATAGATAGACAGATTGAAAGAAGATAGAGAGAAGGTAAGTCTGAGATAGATGGATAGACAGACAGAGAGAGAGAGAGAGAGAAAAGTGCCATAAAGAAATAGTGAAGGGAAATCTGCGATAGATAGATAGATAGATAGATAGATAGATAGATAGATAGATAGAGAGAGAGAGATAGAGAGAGATCGGGAGGTAAGTACAGAAAAAAAAATTTAAAAGTAAATTTTAAATAGATAGATAGATAGATAGATAGATAGATAGATAGATAGATAGATAGATAGAGAAAGAGAGAGAGAGAGAGAGAGAGAAAAGTACAAAAAAAAGCGCGAAAGTAAATCTCAGAGCGAAAATAAATTTTGGATTGCTAGATAGAAAAAAGGAGATAGGGAGGGAGGGAGAGAGAGAGAGAGTTTGTGTAATTATGTCTGAGATAGATAGATAGATAGATAGATAGATAGATAGATAGATAGATAGAAAGAAAGAAAGAAAGAAAGAAAGAAAGAAAGAAAGAAGCAAGAAAGAACGAGAGATGTAGCAAAAAAGTAAATCTGAGATAGATAGATAGAAAAAAGAGAGATAGAGAAAAATAAAAAAAAAGAGAGAAAGCAAATATGAGATAGAGAGATGAGATAGAGAAGTACCAAGAAGAAAGGGAGAAAGTAAATCTGAGAGAGAGAGAGAGAGAGAGAGAAAGAGAAATGTGCCAAAAAGAAATAGCGAAAGTATGTCTGAGATAGATAGATAGATAGATAGATAGATAGATAGATCATAATTAAGATAAAATTTTTGATGAATGTCTAATGTTTCCTGAAAGGAAATGGTTGGTTTAGAGATTACCATTGCCATAGATAGATAGATAGATAGATAGATAGATAGATAGATAGATAGATAGATAGATAGATTTAGAGAGAGGCTGATTTCTTGATTGCTTGATAGGGGTTTTGTAAAGGCATACCAATCCTCTACAGGTTATTTAAAGCCAGAAAACATGTATATACTGTCAGAAGTTTTGGAAAATATCGATTGTCTACCCCAAGACCTACAATTTAATCCATAGCTGGGCGAGGATAGAAGTGGATTGATATCTTTCCCAAGAGTATCTCCACATAGGTGAATAAAAAAAAAAGGAAGAGACTGGAATTGGAACAAGGATCTCCGATACCAAATGCCAGGAGTTTATCCATTAATCCTGACTCACATCCAAGCTTACACCAGCCGGCATTTTTAAGCGGTCACCTATCTAGTTACTGACCAGGGTCGACGTTGCTTAACTTCGGTGATCGTACGAGGACCAATATTTTAACGCGATTATGTCCGTAAGCCGAGCAGAGGGAGGGATACGAGGAAGAAGAATGGCAATAAACGCTGGAGCCAATGAGTAAGGTAAAGAGAGACTGATGAGCCTGGTAAAGAGAGACTAATAAATTTCGAAAGACCAAGAGAGAAAGAGAGAGAGAAAGAGAGAGAGAGAGAGAGAGAGAGAGAGAGTGTTGGTGCGTGCTGCCTGAGTCCGCTTCGTTTATTCGTAATGTCAGATAATCTTTGCGTTTTACCGAGCGACGCTCTGAGGCGTGCGCCTCTGTTGTGTTGTCAAGGTAACTCGTTCTCTTCTGACTGACATATATCGATTGATCTCAGTGACCTTTCAGATGGGCCGACCCCGGATAAGACACCCCCGTGACATCAGGTCGCCCGAGGAGAGATGGATGTAAAGAACCGGCGAGATGTGCAGGTAATCGTGGCATGTGAGACAGAGGGGGAGAGTTGAAATTAGAGACTGTAGCGATAGAGAAGGAGAAAAGAAGACAGACAGATAGATAGATAGATAGATAGATAGATAGATAGATAGATAGGAACAAGGGGAGAAAAGGTGAATAAATACATTGAAACGCAAAAATGAGAAAAAGAAAGAAAGAAAGAAAGAAGAAGAAGAAGAAGAAGAAGAAGAAGAAGAAGAAGAAGAAGAAGAAGACAGATTTAAACAATAGAATGAGAAAGAGAGAATAATCATATTGGAAGACAAGAATAAGAAATGTTAAAAAAGAAAAAAAAGAAGAAGATAGATAGATAGATAGATAGATAGATAGATAGATAGATGAAAACTACAGAATGAAAAATAGATAATAAATAATTGGTTTCCAACTCTGAAAAAAACGAACGTGAAAGAAGAAGAAGAAGAAGAAGAAGAAAGAAGAAGAAGAAGAAGAAGAAGAAGAAGAAGAAAATAGATGTAAACAAGAGAAGGAGAAATAGAGAATAAATACATTGGAATGCAAAAATGAAAAATGAAAGAAGAAGAAGAAGAAGAAAAGAAGAAAAAATAGATGTAAAAAAGAAAAGAAATAGAGAATAAATACATTTGGAATGCAAAAATGAAAAAAAGAAAAGAAGAAGAAGAAGAAGAAGAAGAAGAAGAAGAATATAGATGTAAACAAGAGAAGGAGAAATAGAGAATAAATACATTGGAATGCAAAAATGAAAAAAAATGAAAAAGAAGAAGAAGAAGAAGAAGAAGAAGAAGAAGAAGAATATAGATGTAAACAAGAGAAGGAGAAATAGAGAATAAATACATTGGAATGCAAAAATGAAAAAGTGAAAAAGAAGAAGAAGAAGAAGAAGAAGAAGAAGAAGAAGAAGAAGAAGAATATAGATGTAAACAAGAGAAGGAAAAATAGAGAATAAATACATTGGAATGCAAAAATGAAAAAAAAAGAAAAATTGAAGAAGAAGAAGAAGAAGAAGAAAATAGAAGAAAATAGATGTAAACAAGAGAAGGAGAAATAGAGAATAAATACATTGGAATGCAAAAATGAAAAAGTGAAAGAAGAAGAAGAAGAAGAAGAAGAAGAAGAAGAAGAAGAAAATAGATGTAAACAAGAGAAGGAGAAATAGAGAATAAATACATTGGAATGCAAAAATGAAAAAGAAAAAAAATAAAAGAAGAAGAAGAAGAAGAAGAAGAAGAAGAATAAAGAATGTAAACAAGAGAAGGAGAAATAGAGAATAAATACATTGGAATACAAAAAATGAAAAAAAAAAAGAAAGAAGAAGAAGAAGAAGAAAATGAAGAAGAAGAAGAAAAGAAACAGATGTAAACAATAGAAGAAAAATAGAAATAAATACATTGGAATGCAAAAATGAAAAAAAGTGAAAAGAAGAAGAAGAAGAAGAAGAAGAAAAAGAAGAAGAAAAGAATATAATGTAAACAAGAGAAGGAGAAATAGAGAATAAATACATTGGAATGCAAAATGAAAAAGAAAAAAAAGTGAAAAGAAGAAGAAGAAGAAGAAAACAAGAAGAAGAAGAAGAAGAAGAAGAAAGAAGAATAAGAAGAAATATAGATGTAAACAAGAAAATAAAATAGAAATAAATACACATTGGAATGCAAAAATGAAAAAGAAAGAAGAAGAAAAGAAAGAAAAGAAAGAAGAAGAAAGAAGAAGAAAAAAAAGAAGAATATAGATGTAAACAAAGAGAAGAAAAATAGAAATAAATACATTGGAATGCAAAATGAAAAAAGTGAAAGAAGAAGAAGAAGAAGAACAAGAACAAGAACAAGAACAAGAACAAGAACAAGAACAAGAAGAAGAGATTGAAATAACAGTAGGAAAAACAGAGATTAAATTGATTAGAATACAAAAATGAAAAAGGTGAAAGAAGTCGAAGAAAAAGGAAGAAAAATAAGAAAAAAAATAAAGAATAAAGAACATTGGAATACAAAAATAAAAAAAAAATAAGTGAAAAAAAGGAGACGACAACGAAGAAGGATTCCGAGAAAAAGAAGAAGAATGAATAGAAAACGACGAAGAAGAAGATTGAAAATAAGATGAAGAAGAATACATGCAGAAAGACGTTTAGAAAAAAAAGAAGAACGAAGAAAAGAAGACGAAGAAGAGAGGGTGATGTCAAAGAAGGAGAATCATAAATGAGAGGGAAGCGAAGAGTAATGAAGGATGAAGGATGCAGAAAAAGAGGAGAAGAAGAAGAATGAAAAAGAAGAAGAAGAGGAATAAGAAGAATGAAGAGAAGGAGATAATGAAGAAGAAGAATGAAAAAAAAAGAAACAGAGAATGAAGATAAGAGGACGGCGAAGAATGAAGAGAACATAGCGTCGAAGAAGAATTAATAGAAAGAGATGAAGGAGAATGAAGAAATGATGGCGACGAGTAAAAGAATGAAGAAGAAAAAGTGAGAAACAACGAAGAAGAAGATGCACGAAGAGAAGGAAAGGAGGAAGAAGGAAGGAAAGAAAAGAATGACGAGAATAAGACGAAGAAAAATTATCAAAAGAAGAGGAGGAAGAACGAATAGAAGAAAAAGAATGAAAACAAGAAAACGAGTAAAGAGAAGAAGAGGAAGAATGAAGAAAGGAAGGAGAAGAAGAAGAAGAGAATTTTAATAGGAGACACCGAAGAATGAATAGTAAACGACGACGAAGAAGGACAATGAAGAGGATGAGATGAAGAAGTCAATGAAAAAAAAAAGAATGAAGAAGAGGGAAGAAGCAAAATGTAATTTAGATGAAGAATAAATAATAGTAAACAAAGAAGAAAAAGTATGTAATGAAATAAACTGCGGACAAGAAGATGGATTAGAATGAAGCAAAAATGAAGAATAAATGAAAAATGACTGATGAATGAGAATATAATGAAAAACAGAGGTGAAGAAGAATGAAAAGAAAGGTACAAAGAAAGTAAAAGAGGAGTTGATTGAAGTAAGTGGAAAATAGTTTCAGGTTTATCATGAGGAATTGTTTTGTTGAAGAAAATATTGAGGTTAAAGAAAGAAAAAAATGAAAGGTGAAGAAAGACTGTGAAGGAAAGAAAATTGGTAAATAAATCAGAACAGGAAAAATCCAGGGGGAAAGAATTATTTAAGAAGAAGAAGAAGAAGAAGAAGAAGAAGAAGAAGTAGTAATGGATGAAGAAAAAAAGTGATGAAAATAAGAGAACGAGTATAAATACATTTGGACGTAATAAAATGAGAAATAGAAAATGAAAATCGGAGATGATGAAGAAGAGAAAGAAGAAGAAGATTAGAAGAAGAAAATTCATTAGAAAGAAAAAAAAGAAAAAAAAAAAAAAAAGAAAAAAATGATGATGACGATGAAGAAGAAAAAGTAGATGAAGAAAAGAGAGAAGAAAACAAGAGGAAGAAAAGAGAGACGAAAACAAAAATTAAAAGCAGAGAAATACGATGATTGAAAAAAAAATTTAAAAAAAAAAATTAAAAAAAAATTGAAAAAGAAATTGATGATGATGATGAAAAAAAAAGAAAAAAGAAAAATTAACTTTTTAAGAGGAAATTTAAAGAAAGAATGAAAACAAGAGGAAGAAAAGCAGAGAAATACGCTAGATTGCAAAAATGAATTTAAAAAAGAATTAAAAAGCGAAGAAGAAGAAATTGATGATGATGATGATGAAGAAGAAAAAGATGAAGAAAAGAGAGACGAAAACAAGAGGAAGAAAAGAGAGACGAAAACAAGAGGAAGAAAAGAGAGACGAAAACAAAATTAAAAAAAAAAATAAAAAAGTAGATTGCAAAAATGAATTTAAAAAAAGAATTAAAAAGCGAAGAAGAAGAAATTGATGATGATGTTGAAGAAGAAAAAGAAGATGAAGAAAAGAGAGACGAAAACAAGAGGAAGAAAAGAGAGACGAAAACAAGAGGAAGAAAAGAAGAGAAATACGCTAGATTGCAAAAAGGAGAAAAAAGAATTAAAAAACAAAGAAGAAATTGATGATGATGAAGAAGAAAAAGAAGTAGAAGAAGAAGAAGAAGAGAAGAAGAAGAAAGGATAAGAAGAAGAAGAAGAAGAAGAAGAAGAAGAAGAAGAAGAAGAAGAGACATGAGTGGGAATAAAATGAAAGCGAGATCAGAATAGAAGAAAAGGAAAAGGAAAAGTAATATAACGTTAAAAGGAAGAAAGAAGAATGTAAACGAAAAAGATGAAAAGAAGAAAAAAGATTAAAACGGAGGAATAAAAGCAAAAAGAATAGAAACGATGAAGGACTCACTGGAAAAGCCACGGAAAATAAACGTGACGAAAAAAGAAAAAAAAAGATTCCAGAATTCGAAGAATTAACAATAAGGAAGATAAGAAAAAAAAAAAAACGAAAAATTAAGAAATAGCAGGTTTGAAGAATGAAAATTTAAAAAAAAAGGACGAGATATGAAAAGAAGAAGGTGAACGTTGACAAAGGTGACGTCAAGGAGAAAGAGTCGCTTAAAGAGAAGAAACAAGGGATGATTCGGCGCTTTTAGGCATTGGATACAATCAGGAGGAGGAATTCTCTTTGACTTGTTCCTGCAGGCTTTCCTTTGTCCTCCAATGATTTATTATCTGGCATAAAAGCAACCATTTTGAAGAAGACGGCATTCGCCACTAATAATGATATCCGCAAGCCCCATTAGAGAACGGAACGCGGGAAAAAGAGAAAAGAGCGGGAAGACGGTGACGCACACGTATACATTGTTTTAAATAAACAGCTTCACTTACACGGCGCATGCGCCAACGTAGACACTATGTAAAGTAGATGCGTACATAGTATAAATTTTGTAAACAATTTCAGAACATATATATATATATATATATATATATATATATATATATATATATATATATATATATAAATTTTTTCAAAATTGGCGTCATTTAAATTATTGATACAAGCAAGGTTTATCGGTTTAAAATAGAAATAATTTCGCTGTATTTCATTTACATATCCCCAAAGCTATACATAGTTTAAAAAGCACTTTTCACCTTTTCTAATATTTTTTTACACTTAAAAGTATATTAACCACAGTGGCATAATTTTAATTTTTCTAACGATATAGTGGTCTGAGATGGTTTAGCTGTCCATCAAAAACTTCTGTTGTACGTCAAGTATCATAGGGACGTGAGCGATCATGACGCTCCAGTCTTTCGTACCTTTCACTGCGCTTCGTATCATCTGACATATTATCGTCTCCGTATTCTGTCATGCATTTACTGGTGTAGTCTTGAGTAGTTTACTCACTGTTTCATCCTGCTTCGCTGTTCTGCATTTTCATATATTCAACTTTTCACCTCGATACATAATTATACCCATTGCACACGTGTATATCTAAATTCATCAATAATAATAATAATAATAATAATAATAATAATAATAATAAAAAATACATTATTTTTTCAAATCCTTCTAGAGCATTTGTGTTCTCAAAATTTATATATATATATATATATATATATATATATATATATATATATATATATATATAATATTATATTTCATGGACAATTTTTTTGGATCGGTAGTTTTTAAAAACACGTAAATTTAAGTTATTTGGTCCACTGTAGTCCTTTTTTTAAGAGTTTTATAAGTGGTCTCAAAAGTTTTTTTTTTTTAGATATATGTTGGGGCGCACCCACCTTCTAACTAGTAATGGACTGGTCCCTCTTATATAAGTCAGCTCTGGAGAGAAAATATTTTTTTCAGAGAGAAGAGTCAGCGTGAGCAGTCCAGATAAAAAAACCCGGTACATACCGTTGGACTATAGACTTTGGATATTGTTTCGTACTAACCAACCTTCGTTCTACTAATCACTCTTTTGTTAATTGCTTTTATGAATATACCAGTATTTTCCTCTACAACTGTGTTTGTCTTGATTCATACACCACACACAGGAAAACTCATTTATCTCAACAATATATATATATATATATATATATATATATATATATATATAAAATATTCATGCTGGGCAATTTTTTCCGCAGATCGGTAGTGGGACACGTGTAATTTAAGTGTATTTCTATAAAGAGAGCAACAATAAAAAGATCAATTTATTAAAGAGAAGGAATAGTCTATAATCTTTTGATTCTCGAGTCAGAGTCCTTGCCCGACCACACCCTTTTGTTCTTAGTTTCAATCAATCCCTATTAAACTATTATTTCATCAATATCAACTCTCCATGTTGTAAAATCAGTGGGATCTCTGAGCTTGTTTCCCTGCAACTAGACGGTCCCATCTGGGATTGATGGGAGACAATGACCCTTGAAGTGTGCCCTTGTCTCCGTTCTACTACGTAGCTATCTTTTGGTTACTGTCATTGCAGAAAAACCCGTTTCACAAAGATGGAAATTAATGTTCACTCTTCAATTTATCTATCATATAATTTTAAACAAGTTAATTAAAAAATGTGATCCGGTAGTTTCGCCTACGTAATTGAGTTTCGACCTCGTTTTTTTTACCTGAAGATTGTGTGACTGCCTATAAATAATCCAAATGATCCACTGACCGGTTCGCGGACCAGGGGTTAGGAAGCTCCGGTATAGACTTTGGGTGCCAAGAAGAAATATTTAGTACTATGCGCCATTACCCTAGGCAGGTTACTTTTTCATTACTATTAAATTTCAGAACAGACATCGTATGATGCATAATTCTTATACAAGACCAAATATGTATATTAGATTCTTGTAGGAAATAGTCACACGACCAAAAGATCCATTTTGGGGTCTTGTTTATAATCATTAGTGTTGTGGTAGGATCCACCTAATTTGCATAGTGGAATACGGACCATATAAATATGGTTAGTACCGGGAAGAGAGGGAGGAATCAAGAGATTCAACCAGAGACTCTGCCCGACTGCGACTCAGTCAACACATTCTCCAGGAACGGTCTTACCAGGAATATACAAAAGACTATATGTAAATATTGTGTACACTTTCTTGTTTTAATACATTTTGTTCTAAGTACATTTTGTGTTGCATTATTATTCCATGCATTAGTCAAGTTTCAACAATTATATAGTCGACCAATTCTTTGACTGAAATTGTATAAGGTTTTGTTACCTGTAGAACATAAAACAATATGGAATATTATGAAAGCCAGATGACTTTCCGTTTCATTATGTCGATATGATGTTTCACATTTTGTAGCTCTTTGTTTTGTCATTTTGCTATCTCTCCCAATCTCTGACTCAGATATCCATTTACATAATCCCATAAGATTAGGTGATCATGTCTCTCCATAACTTCCTCTCCTTCGGATTCTTAGTAAAAATTTTACCATTTTTTTTTTTTTTCCCTTAATAATCCTCGTCTCTGACATTCACTTACACAA